AAAAGTGAAAAATAAAAAGTGAAATAATTAAAAAGTGAAAAATAAAAAGTGAAATTTCTAAAAAGTGAAAAATAAAAAGTAAAAAATAAAAAGTGAAATAATAAAAAGTGAAATAATACTAAGAGATTTTGTTATTATTAAAATTTTTATGTTTTTCGATTATTTTTGAATTTGCAATTTTTATGTTACTATTATAACAATATTTAGCTTTTATTAAATTTAAATATATTAAATAATACAAAAAAATTTTTGCATAAAATAAATATTTATAACAAAGATAAAAATAAAGTATATGAAATATAAAGTAAAATAATTATTAATATTTTTACTATATTTATATATTATTACTATTATTAATAAATTTGTTAAAATATATTTATATTATTTATTTATATTTATATTTATATTTATATTATATATTTATAATTATATTATATATTTATATTTATATTATATATTTATAAATATATAATATAAATATAAATTAATAATTAATTAATTATTATAAAATATTTAATTATATAATATTAGAAATTTAATTTTTGCTTAATATTCTTATTAATTTTAAAAATTAGCTGATTTTTGATACTCTTATAAAAGTTTATATAATTAATTTTATATATTAAAATACAAATTTTTAGTTTTATAAAAACAAAAATTATTTATATAAAGAGTTAATTATATATTTTATTTTATTTTTTTGAATTTTTAGTAATTTATTAGAAATATATATTTTATAAAAAATAAATTCATTTTTCAAATAAATAAATATTAAAAACTAGTATTAAAACTAATAATTAATTAAATTAATATTTTTTTATAATTAAACTTTTAAAATTAATATTAATTTATATTTAATTAATTATATTAATATATCTATATATTGTTAGTAAAGTAATAAATTTATTCAGATTACATTTTAATCCAATTTTTTAATTATTATAACAAATTAAAATAAAATAAAATTAAAATAAAATAATGATCTCTTTTTGTATTATTTAAGTCAAATTACTTAAATCTGAATTAACTTTTATTAATTCAAATTAAACTAATCTAATTTATATTTGTTTTATAAAAATAATAATCAGAGCAATATTTACTAATATTTAATTAATTAAATAAGTTTTAACTAATTCAATAACAATTAGCTTTCTGATTTTAAATAAAAATATTCAGCACAAAATTAAAATATATATTTTTAAAAGTATTTAATTAAATATATAAAGACTAATAGAATTTTTTTAGAATTGTTCATTTTAACTTTTTTTTAAAAATGCATAAAATATAATAAAAGTACATATAAAAATATTTATATTTTTTTAATATCTTTAAAAATAATTATATATAATATAATTATTTAAAAAGATTAGACAAATAGTGTGAAGTTATATTTATAATATTCAAATAAATTAAATAATATTTGTTTTGCTAATTATATTAAGTAATAATAAATAATATAATAATATAAATTTAATATAAACTCTATTCTTAAGATAATTTAACTTATTGAATTAATATAAAATAATAACAAAATAATTATTAAAGGAATTAATTAATAATTTAATTTTTATAATATATAATAAGTGTTCATAATTCAAGTAAAGTTATTATTATTTTTATAATTACTATTAGTATTTATAATTCAAGTAAAATTATTATTATTTTTTGTAGTTATTATTAGTATTTACAATTATTCAAGTAGTTATTCTTATTTTTTGTAATTATAATTAGCATTTATAATTCAAGTAATCATACTTTTTTTGTAATATAATTAATATTTGTAATTCAAGTAAAGTTATTATTATTTTTTGTAATTATTATTAGTATTTATGATTCAAGTAATATTATTATTATTTTTTGTAGTTACTATTAGTGTTTACAATTTATTTAAGTAGTTATTCTTATTTTTTGTAATTACAATTAACATTTATGATTTAAGTAGTTATTATTATTTTTTGTAGTTATAATTAGTATTTGCAATTCAAGTAAAGTTATTATTATTTTTTGTAATTACTATTAATGTTCATGATTCAAGTAAAGTCATTATTGTAAAATGCATATTATCCCCTATGTAATAAGAAATAGAACAATAATTAAGAGTTTATTATATATAAATTATTATTGCAAAAATAAGCTGGAGAAAATGAAAGTATTAGTAAAATAAAAAATATATTATTTTTTAAATAAGAGAGATTGGAGATTAAAAAAGAATTGTGTATAATATCCAAAGGTACTTTTTGCCATTCTCACTTCAATGCATCAATTAAATTCTTTTTGGAGGTCGGAAGAAGTTTTACTTTTCTAATTTAGCGATATCTAAATGATCCCATATACGTATACTCAATTGGGTTTGGACGTCCATTCTAAACTGGAATACTGTGTGTTTGCATCTACCGACGACTATAATGCGAAGTATGACAGGAAGCACCATCCTGCTGAAAGTTGTACGTATAAGAATGATTATTCATAAATATTTGGAAAGAATCGAGATTGTTATCAACTTCTACCAAAGGTCCGACACCATCCCAACCAATACAATCCAAAAACATTATCAACAATCTACAAAATTTTACTGTTAGAACCACACAACTTTCTGTTTTTTTCAAAGGATTTCACCACACTCTTGTACGCCCATCCGAATGCAAGGGAATTGTGACTCATCTGATCACACAATTTGGTGGCATTCATCATTCCAGTTTTTCTTTTCTTTGCACAATTGTAAACGCTTTTTTTATGCTGAGTAGTTAAAAAAGGTTTATTACTTGCATGGTAAGATTCAAATGATAATTTCATATAATTACGAGTGGTATTAAAGTGAATTGAGTTATTATTGGTTCAGAATGTAGAGAACCTGTTTTCTTAAATCGATTAATTGTATCGGTATCACGTACTGTTTGCTTTGGAATAGAGGCAATAACTGAAGCATTGCTCTCCATAGGATACGACCAATTATTTGTTCACGAAGTTCTAAGGAGAAAGAAGAGCGAATAGAGTGCTTTTATATAGTTAACTTTGGTTACAGTAACATGATCGGGGGAGAGGTTTTGGTGACGTTATTATATCCAAATACTATTAATGTTACTTATCATTATCCAATAATAATTAATATAAAAAAATTTTTTTGTCCCAAGCAAATCATGTTATTATAATGAATGTTACTGTAACCAGTTCTGACTGTACAAATAAAAGATTGAACAATGTAAAAATTAAAACAAAAGAGAAAATAAAACCATTATTCGATAAAGAATAATGCATATGCACGATAATTTATCGTATATAGGTCAGTGTATTGCCATAGCTAAAGGCTCTGATAGTTTAAAATTCAAACTTGCGGATCCAATCAAATCGCTCGACTTCAAAAATCTTGTGATCTGATTGGACCCGCAAGTTTGAACACTGGATACCTCACGACGTTACTGTAACCTCTAACCCTAAAAGCAAACAGATGCCCGACCGACAAAAGATTTCTTTGTCAAAAACGGAGTCTCTTCAGGTTGTCCAGAGCACCATCGTTTCGTTGGGGGATTTTCGTTTGCGGGACGGACTGGTATACTTTGGGAACATGTTGCCTGATTAGTCTGCCGAGGACGTCATTCATTTTGTACTCCTCATTCCTCAAGAAATCAGCTTGAGTCGTTGTTTACGAATCGAAAAATCTTAGGATCGAGATTGATGAAAATATGGCAGTCTTGGCCTATCACTGCTAAGAGGTAACCAAGAATCTTATCCTACAACTTGACGGCAAAAGTTTGTCATGTTACAAGATTGAGCTTCCTGCCACTGCTAAAGATATTCTTCAATCGAACGCCCACCAAACCAGGATGTCATTTAAAAAATGCATCACAAATGTATATTATTAGTCTCAATTGGCCTGACATATCAGTCGATTTGATTTTTATATTTACAATTTATAATAATTTACTATGTCTAACCAACGGGCTGATAGGACCCATTGGTTGGTCATAATGAATTATTATAAACTTCAAAAACCAAATTAGCCGATACGCTATTTGTACCGAAATGTCTTTACACCTCATTAGTTTTACTTTTAACTTTTTAACATTTTACTCGAGATCTTTGTCGATTTTTTTAAGAGTAAATATTTTGATCTAACAAAACTTGATCATTACGACGTTCACGTTCAAGTCATTTGTTCGAGTTGATTATTTCTGTCCGTAGAGAAACTTTGATTTCATTTCTAGTTTTTTATTAACAAATTTTATAAATGAGTTGTTGAAAGATCTTCCGATGTTAACGAGTTCAAATATCGGATGCTGAAGTCCAATTGTTGCGTTATCAATACCTTGGATCTCTAGGCAATTGTTGCGGAACTCGTCGTCGCATTATGCAACTCTTGTCAATCTATAGTTCGATTTTCTAATGATTTATCGAGTTGAATTTCTGCTTGGCATCCTGGAAGATTGCCTTCAATAAAAGCACCTTCCATTTCTATATTTTATAATTTTCTGAAATTATATTTTGTTCTATTTCAACTTCTATTTCAGCTTTATGTGGTATAACTATGATATAATAATTTTCAGATTCATTAGACATGTACATGTACGTTCAGTCGCCACAGAAAGTAACGTCCGATTTGGATGTGCAACATCAACATAAATTTAAATGTGGCGGTTATTGTTGACTGCAAATTTTTTTCTTTGACTTTTGAACATACACTGGGCGAAATTTGTTGGCTGTGAATATAACACACACCGCCTCCAGTTGACCACTTTGACAAAAGTAAAATGGGTAATTTGGATTGGGGTTTTGAGTGCCGTACAAGTTGCAAGAAAAATGATCCGTGACTCGATGACGGG